TTCTCCCGATCCACGAGCTGGCTCGGGTGCATCTCGAAGAGCTGGTAAGGACTCTGCTCGTCCCTGAGGCACCGAGTCTCCGTACAACTTCAAGCGGAAACTCGTCTCGCTCAAAGCTCGCATCCACCGAGGCATGTTCATGTCCTCGTCCGGGTACTCCCAAACGTGCTTGGCAGACATCCGGTCCTTTGTTTGACACGAATCCCCACCCGCCCACAGACACACACCCACACAGACTCACACAATATATATATATATATACAGTATGTATATATATATATATATGTAAATACGTAGCCAAGCATCCAGGAAGGAAGTTGTCTCTTCCAAAAAGCGGGGAGGCTCCTTGTGCACGACTTCAGCTGCCTGGACAATCACGGCGAGGTACTCCTCGTAGCACACCTCCGGCTGCGGCCCAAGCACTCTCTTCCATTCCTGCAGCAACAATGTTTCCACTTCATCTGCCCTTCCACGAGACATGTTCTCTTCTACAAGGGCCAGGGGCACTTCAGTAATTCAATGCTTGATCCCGAGATGGCTTCTCACATGCACACAGATTGCGAAGTTTTGCACACAACACCTACTCGGGAAAAAGGGCCATCCGTTGGGGGGAACAAAAAACTATGTACAGACTACACAGCACTGAATCTATATACATACACACAGCATCCTGAAATCACTATATACAACACAGGGGCCATCCACAGCCCTCGTGCACAGAAAATCTATATACATACACACAGCATCCTGAAATCACTATATACACCACAGGGGCCATCCAGCCCTCGTGCACAGAAAATCTATATACATACACAGCATCCTGAAATCACTGGAGCTCAAGATGGCCACAAAATGTATGCAATCGCCAAGGCATAAAAGACCGATAACCGGCCGGTTTAATGCAGTCGTCAGCATGCACAAAAGGTGTGGCAAATGCAAGCCCACAAGATCTGTTTTCGGCACCTTTGCGGGAAAGGAATGCCAGGTCTGCACAATGGTCTCAAAGATGACCAAAGGCAATGCTTAAAATGTTCGGGTTGTCCAGCCCGAAGGAAGAAATGTGCAGGAGCAAAACTCCCCAAAAGAGTTGCCATGGAGAAATGAATGCAAGGCAGAATCAATACCGCCAATGCCAGTTACCCGATCCCTGGTTCCAATTCCAGTCAGAATCCCATTGGGAATTCCATGTCTCCTCACTGTCCCGACTCTCGGGCTGTGGAGTGGAAATCAAACGGTTCCTGCAATGCTCTTTGCAGAGGTGCCGTGTAGTGGAATGCTGGGAAAAGTGAGAATCATATGGAATCTCACTGTTGTATGAACAAAGGGCATGACAGCCCGGGTGCTGGCAGGCAGCCCGACAACAATTAAGTTGTCGCGTGCTCATTGGAACAGTTGCGCCAGCCAATGGAACCTTTGGGGTCGGATCATCGACCAAGTCAATCTTCGGCCGAGTCGAAGTGCCCGGACCAGTAGCTGGTGTTGATGTAGATCCTGCCGGGGAGCTCGAAGGCACTGTAGTGGAACCTGTCGGGGAGCTAGAAGGCAATGGAGTGTCCATCGTCGGCTTCGATGGAGCCGGAGTGTAGTCCTGAGGCTGAGTGTAAGCCGGCTCAGTGGATGTAGAATTATCCGTCCAACCCGATGGAATGTCTTTCCCCTTGCCGGAGCCTTTGTCTGCTCCTTTTTCTCCAGCTGCTTCGTAATGGAAGCGCAGGGCTGCATCAGTGGACAATGTAAGTGCCATTAACAGTTTGGAACGGCCCTCACTGAAGCCTGCCCTGATAACCGTCGCCAGTTGCTGGGTATCCGTGTTGCACAAAGTGTAATGCACTTCGAAGTTCAGCTGGATCCCTGATATTGTCCATGGCTCCACAAATGAAACGGGAAAAATGTGGCAATTACCCAGGGAGCAATGTAATGCAATTGTGACCAAGGTAGCTCGAACTGAAAGTTAAGCAGCACAAACAGGAAAGTATCCCCATCGGAGAGAAAAAGTGCAATGAATGCCGACTCAAGCCTGGGAAAGCAGAAAAGCTGAAAACCATGCTCAACCACGTGGTTGCCTTAATCCAGAACAACGGCAGACGCAAGCCATTTGTGCGCCAAGAATGCACATGACCAAGCATGTGTGCAATGGCAGTCGCCTCAGGTACAAGGACCTCGATAGCCGATGCAACCTCTTTTGGAAATGCAAAAGGCAGTCGCCGTGAGCCTATTCAAGTGCAGCGAACAACGCAGCACATGCTCGAGCCCGACAAAGTCGGGACTTTTCGGATGGATGTGTAACCATCCGGAAAACACCACGGCTGTTGCAGGCCGGGCGACCATGAATGGATGCATGCAGCGTATTGGAGGTCTCTGCACAAAGAAAAGAAACTTCTTCTGCCGGCCCCAAGGAGCTATGCACAGACCCCTCAGACTCTGAGGTCTCCTCTTCAAGAGGGGGTGGACCTGACGAGTCAGATGCTTGCACGTTCACAATGGAAGGCATCGTACGGCCTTCTGCTGGAGCAATCGGAGCTGTCTCAGTGGTCGAGGCTGCAACATGAAAGAAAGGCAGTTCAGAAATGCAAGAGACCCACGCCATGTCTTCGGAGTGCGGCTCCGATGCAACATAGGAAACTCCTCGCAAAATCGGGGTCCTGGGTCGCCATCCTGAGTGAATGCGATCCACAAAGGAGTACTGTGTCATCAGGATCGGTGCAATATCATCTCGACCGTATAATGTACTGGAGGGGGCAAAAACATGATGCCCCTGTAAGTGACGAGCCTCCAATGAGAAATCTGCCTGCCGAAAGAAAACAAGTAGTGTCACTTTCATGGAATGCAAGGTGTATTGCAAGCACTGGTCGGCAGGAATGCGGCCCCAAGTGGACAACAGGTTCCTGAGTCGAGACAATGTTTCTGCATACGACATAGGACGGACCTCGTCCGCCGAAATGGACATAAACATGTAATCTGGGTAATCAGAGGTGTCTCGGCACAAAGTCACATGAGATGCAAAAGTGTGCAACCAATGGAAACCCACGACTGTCGCAAAGGCATCTTGCAGAGGCCACTGACCAAACAGCCAAATGGCATGAATCGCTTCGCCTTGGTCCTGTATGCCACACCACGAATGCTGTCCTCATCAATGTAAAAATCCTGTAAATGCAAATGTTGTGCGTCTCCAAATCGAAGGCTGCTCCAAATGCATAGTAGTACCGCGCCTGCAAACAATGCATCCTGAGGCGAAAAACGAGCCAGGAGTATGGAAACCTCTAGCCAATGCATAAACGCCAAAGGTAATGGAACAGCAGGATCGAGAATGAAAAAAGGCCACCATGCAAGGATGGAAATTGGTCAGGTTTCACTGTAGATGTAAACCATCGCAGAGCCTTGAGGACATTGGTGGAGTGGACCGAAGCTGATCGACTTCGAGAGTGCTGAAAAACGTGAATGCAGTCTAATAACTGAGCAGCTGCAGATCTCGAATGGTCGTGCAAAGACCCCACAGTACTGAAATGTATCGTAACGCAGTGGAATCTGAAACTCGTCGCAAAAGCTGTTCCAGGAGGGCTGCTGAGTTGGGGCTGGCCAACACTTCCCGAAGGAGAGACGAAATGCATGCAGTCAGAACACAGAGCTCCTTCCACAATGTAAGTGCCCTCTCCTAATGGCTGGAATGAAGAGCAGAGTGCTTCACAGTTTTCTTAGGTCCCGACTCCATATCCAGTTCGTGAACCTGACAGCCGCGCTTGGCTGGCATTCCTCCAGACTTTACAGGTTGAGGTGCAGAAGAAAGATCTGCCACCTTGGAAACAGCATGTGTGATGCAATGTGCCACCGACTTGCAGAGTGCACCTTGTTCCGACGCAAGTTGCCTCAGTGTACTAGAGGGGTAGGTCGCATAGTGTCCTCGCGGTGAGGGAGATGGCCTAACCTTGGGTAGGCCGATCGGAAAATGGCCAGAGGCCCGTAACGAAGGAGGGGCAGGCTTGGGCCTCGCCTCCAAACTGTCGCGATGTAATGGCCTATGAGTTAAACAGTACAACTCTAAGCGGTCACGCTTTTCCTCGTTGAACCAAAAG